GAAACCCGGATTCTAGCGTTGTAAGTCCGCAGACATACCGCTGTGCCACTGGGGGGCTTCTTGAACTTAGACGCAGTCGCATCTTCTTGTTTCAGCTGTTTTCGAATGGGTGTGGTTAACAAGCTGTGTTGAATTTGTTCTTACTCATATCGTTGCTGTGGATTTTTTTTCAGTCTTTATTAATACATCAAATCTAAGAACTTACATATTACAATATAAATATGAAAGAAAAAGGTTAAATAGGTTAAGAACAACACGTAAAAACCGCTTGCGTATTATTAAAACACTATGATATGCTGAAAAATAATGAAATTAACGTTATTTAAATAATTAATAAGAGCTTGTTAAAAACCAATTTGCGTTATATTGATATAACAATATGTAATATTATCTTTAAAGTTTTGTGCTGCAAATGAAAATTTCTTCTTGAAAATCAGACAAAATCAAATGGTTTTTAATTTACCTGCCTGCTGTAGACATTATGGGTGCGCTTGTCCCTCCCTCTCCTTGTAAGAGTGCGGATGCCAGAGGTTCCTGGTTGGTGTTGGTTGTCATTAGAGGGTGCGACTGGTAAAGTATCGTAGGGAGTGGCGTATGGATGAAGTTCCTCCTCTAAAATGGGAAATATAAAAGTTATGATTCTATTGTAACAATATTGTAAAATGGGAAATTAAAAGTTATGATTCTATTGTAACAATATTGTAAAATGGGAAATATAAAAGTTATGATTCTATTGTAACAATATTGTAAAATGGGAAATATAAAACTTATGATTCTATTGTAACAATATTGTAAAATGGGAAATATAAAAGTTATGATTCTATTGTAACAATACTGTAACAAGTTATATTAGTAAGTTCGAGATATAAGATATTGATGTAATATATTTCACGTTAATAGTGTCTGAAATCAGTAACGTTATCGAGAAAGGCAATTATCATGATTAATCAAAAAATTTACAGATATATTGGGTATTAAAAAAGTAATAGAATGCTCAGTTTTCCTCTTATATAGGGTGAGAAATTAAATAAATCCCATAAATTGTGTCTGAATTAAGAAAAAGTGAAAGTGAGCTCACATCTCTACCTGGACGAGAATCGAGCATTGACTCTCTGGGAGGGCAATGATTGGTTGACTGAGAATATGGCGAAGAACGCTGAGTGCCATCTTCACTTGACACATAGTCTAAAGGGGGTGTATTACCAATATCCTTCATCTGTATTACATCCTGAGACGTCTTTCCATATACCTGATTTTCTGTTAAAATAATGTGGTTTTTACATATTACATAACGTCTTATGTAACAAACACAATTTCAAGGTATTTAAATTAAAATGATTTATATAATCAGATATTGAGGTAGAAAACTATGTTAAAATATTCGTTAACGAAATGTTCTTTACTTATTTCTTAATTTATTAATAGTAAATAAATATCTATTTTGAAATACTCAAAAAAGCGATATTTGTTATTCGTTAATTACTATTTTTTTTAGATCAACAGCGGCTCGGTGAGTATGGATTCATAAATATATTAATCTGATAGTTTAAAAATGTTTTAAGTTGCCAAACACTTCAAATGTATGTTATTCGTGTAACTATTTCACGTATCTCCACAACACTAATCATGTGAAAATTTCTGCGTATGAGACAGTACAATATCTAAAAAGAAAGGGAAAAGTTCTGTTGAAAGTGGTCTCTTAGAGCGGCAAAAGTTTACTTGTTATGACTACGAAAAAGTGTCAGAAATCACAATTGCAATAATTTCGCAGTAACGTTATCATGTTCAATATTACTCGTGAATAGGTGGTAAGGTTTGTACCATGTACTCTAAAAGGAGGCAGGTAAAAACATGAAATCAACTGTTCTGTACCACCTGTGAATGACTGTGGTGTGGGCTACATTCTGAACATTGGTCGAGGGATCTTTCTGTAAAGTTTCTGCACATCTAAATGTCCGTGCATATCAACAGATCTTAAAATTAAAATGTTACGAAGCATGTACAATCTGTGCCTGACAAGCCCACCCGGAGTCCAGATTTTGACTTTATAGAAAATCTATGTGTCGATCCATTTGTAATTCTACTTTACATGTGAATAATAAGATGCTAAAATGCTCTCAAATTGATAATGTGATGCAATTACACAACAATATTATAGCAGGAACTTACAACCTCTTATTACGAGCGAGGCCTTATCAATACATGCGATGATAAATAGAAGTTTGTACAGTAATGTTGAATTGTGAATTAATTTGCTAAAAATATTTACATTGCAAAACATGGCTCCGTGGTTAGGGCACTCGACTGGCAATCTGCTGGTCGAGGGTTCGAATTCCGTTACCGAACATGCCTTTTCAGTCGTGATGGCGAATGTGACTCAGTCCCACTAATCATTAGCAACAGAGTAGCTCAATAGTTGGCGATGAGTGGTATTGATCAGCTAGCCTGCCTTCCCTCTAGCCTTTCATTTCAAAATTAGGGACGGCTCGCGCAGAATAGTTCGTGTAGCCTTGCGCGAAATTCAATAAACAAATATTGTTAAAACATAAATACTTAACAAGTTGCTTTCGCTTTATTCACACCTATAGTACCAATAACAATGATTTATTACATTTTCAATTGGTAGAGTAATTTATTGTTTAACCCCAAGACAAGTTCTCCTGAAAGTGAATGACTTCTAGTCTTACACTTCCAGTGATAGCATATACAGTATGCATCATTAATAAATACATATCGCAAAAACCAAGCAAAAATGAATTTTATTTCAAATTTAATGGAGTTCACGTTTCAAAACATGGCATGTCCTCTGAGATTTTGAAATAATAACTTCTTGTCAAGTTCACATTTCTTTTAACTTAGCTAAAGTGTACAATGGATAACAAAGTTTATAGCAATATGTAGTAATCAGAGGGTCGCGGGTTCG